TGGGTATCAGTGCTGGTATCAGTGCTGGATATCAGTGCTGGGTATCAGTGCTGGTATCAGTGCTGGGTATCAGTGCTGGATATCAGTGCTGGGTATCAGTGCTGGGTATACCTGTAGTCCTGCTGACTTTTTAGATCTTCATCAAGGTCACCTTGTGGTCAAAGGTGCTGTAAACAACGGAAAATTTATGATGATTCCAAAATATTAGGAACATAATTGGATTGGTCTGGGAGGAGGGTCCAGGATGACAGGCTTTCATGGGGCCCAAAGTCTCTAGCAGCACCCCTGTTTATAATACAATTATGTAATAATGTGATAAAATATATTACCAGCACTGGAAAAGTCAATGTCAAATTCGTCTTATATCAGATAGACAAATGGGCTGTGGTGGTCATTTTATACAAAATAAAGTCTGACATTAAATTGCACACCCCTTGAGGTGTGGTATTCATATAACAAAACTGCTTTGCTCTGCCCGATGTAATGGTCAGGCGAACTGAAAAAGAGAATTTATGTGTTACTAGGAGTTCTGTAAGTGCACAAAGCCACATAGAAATGTGTCTACAATTATGTTGCGCTAATGAAAAAAACTGTTTTAATTCTCTAAAGTCTTAAAAGGCTGAAATGGCAAATCCAACACCCTCCACCCTTCCCAGAATAAGCAATTTAGTGGATGGATGGATGGATGGATGGATGAAGAAAAGCTGTACTGTCTCATTGGCCTACAAAGGTCTGGTCTGAATAAAAATAGATTCACACTATACCTATCCCATTCTAACCAGTGCATTGTCTATTACTGGTGATCCCTTCTGGCACAATGAAAGCCCATTATAAATGGCAAAAGGGGTACACAATGGTGCTACACCTGAAGGCCTGTGGTTTTGTTTCTAACCCAGGCTCTGTATATGTATGAGGATATAAGCTTGCTACAATGTGAGCATTCAAAAGATTATTAAGGAATAACATTTATTGATACATCCAGTGCATCATTAAAAACTTAATGAGTCTTGTTGATATTAGTGGCAGTTTAAAGATGATAAATAAAATCAGATTACAGCCTTGAGTTGCACAAGATTTATCATTCATTGCATCATCACATGCTTGGCAGAGATGCTAAAAAAAAACTCCAGAAGAATGACAATCGACAAAGTGTTATCTCAGGGACAGGATGGTGATCGTGACATACGGGAGGAGGTTTCCGAGGCAACCGAGATGATTCCCATGATCCCAGCTTTTCATTTTCTGATAATGAGCAGGGATTAGCCTTGGCTGTGTAATGGAATAGAAAACAACAGGACACCATAACTGTTCTAAAGAGAGGGGAAGGAAAAAATGGAAATATTATACATACTGCCACAATAACACAAAGCCAAGGCAAACTATCAGCTTCCAGTGTAGCCAAAATGGAACCAGGAGAATTGCTTAAATGCATGATATTTTAAGTATTCTTCTTTACATCGTATATACTTCTTCATATCATATATACTTGGAAATACTAATATGAAATGACTATATTAATAACTGTGAGGCTAAATTTGACTTTTGAAGATGCACGGCAAGATTTGTAAATTTGTTGAAAACTTCTGTCATGTTGCATTTTTCACATGCAAGTTGCACAATGATGGATCTCTGGGCACAGAATAAGATAAGAAGCTGTATATCACCCTGGGTACCATCACACCAAAGATAAGAAGCTGTATATCACCCTGGGTACCATCACACCAAAGATAAGAAGCTGTATATCA